TTTCCTTATGCTTAAAGTTAGTATTTACAAGGAACAGGCGGTTATCTGAGCATAGCTGCAACAGACGGTCGCCATTATCTGTTCTTTGAGCCACGACACCATAGGATCCACCTAGGTGTCTTTCCTTATCGCTTAGTTTACCTACTTGAGCATTAAAGTCACCGGCCATTATTACTACATCCGAGCGCTTAGCTTTTCGGAGAAGGTCCGAAAGCTTTCTGTAAAACTCATCTTTTACATCATCTGAGCTGCAGTCAGTGGGAGAATAGGCAGAGACGACGAAGAGGCAACGACGAGTGTCCCTATCTTTCCGGATTCTTACTGTTCCGTTCAGTCGGACAGCGCACAAACGACTGTTTACTGGGATCCACTCTAAGAGAGCTAGTTCTGCCCTAGGACTCAATGCTATACCTACGCCGGCGAGGCCACGGGAAGCAGAATCAGGGCTTCCAGATACACGAAGCGTAAATCGAGTCGGTTCTTTATTTTGGCATGGTGAGGTCAAATGAATGACGCTACTCGGATCCTGTATGCGCGTTTCGGAGACGCAGCACACATCGATGGCGCGAGATTCTAAAGTCCTAGCTAAGGAAGCCTGCTGTCCTATTTGGCACAGTGTTCGTACGTTAAAAGCTCCTACGTGTAGTTTAGAGCGTGGTTTCAGGAGACCAGGAATGGCGTTCCACGTACTCGAATCGTTTGCCCTAGCGGTGCGAGGTGATAAAGAGACGTGAGGAGGGTTAGTCGGGAGGATAAGAGAGGTATTAGGAGGTGTAGGAAGGATTTGAATGTGACCACCTTGGTCTCTTGTGCTGCTTCATTAACACAACAAGATGAACACCGGATTCATAGGAGTGGTTAAGCCAATGGTAGCAATGTATAAAAGAAAGATTGTGTATAAGGATATAATACAGGAAGAAAGAATTAGTTGGTAGAAAGAATGGTATAAAGTAATTTTAATCTCACGATTTAAGGGAAGACAAGCAGTGTATACACCTACGCCATTGTGATCGATTCTGAGCCATATCACCCAGAGTTTCCAGCAATTGTTTACGATAGTCGCACGGACCCCAACCACGTAGTCTGCATCTACAACATGGCTTAGGCTAGAAGTTTATGACTTTATGGACTGATACCACATTTTGGTATGGCCGCCCCTAACTTTCTCCCAACCGTCTCCGACACTAGTCAACATTGCACGCCGTGGTAATCGGTGTTCAGGCATGCGTAACACGTGACCAAACCACTTTAGTCGATGAAGATACACAACCTCCAACTGATTTACCATCATTCCCTAATACCCTGTGTCTGTCTAATCTCACTATTACTTACCCGGTGATCCCAGCAGATACGAGCAATATTTCTAAGACATCTGTGATCAAATATTAGTAACATACGAGTATCTTCTATTCTTAGTGGCTACGTTTTGCAGCCGTAAAGTAGAATAAAACGAACTGCTGCGCAGTATACCCGTCCCTTAATTGATAGACAGATATCTCGCCTTCGCCATAGGTGACGTAAGTCGGCAAAAGCCGAACGAGCTTTTCGAATCCGTGCTGAGATTTCGTCAGACACCAACCCATTAGGGCTGATCAGACTTCCAAGATAAGTGACGTTGTCAACGCGTTTGACTACTTCACTCCCTATCCTTAGTTCAGGTGCTGATGCAGACCAGTCCTGAAGCAACTACTTGCATTTAGAGGGGTAGAAACGCATCCCAAATATCCTGGCATTGTTGCTGAGTGCTACCAAAAGACTGCATTTTCTCAGCGTCTTCACCAAACAGAACTATATTATCTGCGTATCCTAAGTCGATAAGTGGACCTTCTGGAAGGAGATCAATACCCGAGAATTCAGTAGACGAGAATGTTATTTCCATCAATAGGTCTATGATGAAGTTAAACAAAAATGGAGAAAGTGGACAGCCTTGACGGACACCACTTGAGGTTGCGAAAGCAGATGACAGTTCGCCATAAGTTCTGACTCGACTGTTAGTGTTTGAGTAAAGAGTGTTCACAAGGTTTATGTACTTTTGAGGTACGCCTTTCAATGACAGACACTGCCTCAGAAACTTTCGGTCTACAGAGTCAGATGCCTGGGATAATAACGTCAGTTGATGTTGAGTAACATGGTCCAATGTTGGTTACATTAGTGCAAATGCATTCACTCTTTATTTACCTATAGGTCTCGATCTACAATATTATTTCTCACTTCATGTTTTTTCTTCTCTTCTTTTCAAACCATATTCTCTAATGTTTATTTTTTTCTCACTATCATTGTCATCACTATTATTTCTTATTTTTCGGTGCTCATTTCTTTAATTTTATCTCGTCATGGTGATGCATGAAGAATTTGTCTAACACGCATTTGTGGCAGTATCCATTTTGTTAATCACTGAGTCTTTAATAATTATGTAATGTTACCACCGAACGAGAGGTGCTATCACACCAATATCAGTCAAACATATCAATCGAAAACTCTTAATGTGCAGAGGTTAGGTCTTAAGAGATTGAAGTTTAATCTGTGGCGCTAGGCAGTGTTGAACAATCGAAATTTATCAACCAAAATAATATCAGGACAGCAACAAAGGTAACCCATATTGTATATCTGTGACTTCATTTGTTACCACCATCCACGGATCTACCAAAATACACAAATCTCTCAACTATTTTCAATAGTTTATCGTCGAGAATGGGTACTGGGACTGTGTTGATAGTTGTAGACAACCTGATTTTGATCCATGGAATAATCGTGATTGATTGTTTCATATTTTTAGGTGACCTAGTTTAAAATCGAACCCGGTTAAACAAATGCATCCACTCATTATCTTTCCTTAAATCTTAAGTTTCAATGTCATGTCTCGTTTTTTATTCTGCAAACTCATTTCGAATCATGCTCTCTAAAGTTTAGAATTTTTTGTTATAATCGGCGCAACTATCATGTTAGCTATTCTGTCATTTATCCAGTTACTTTCATTTTGCTTTGGTGAGGTAAGTTGTTGCTTAGCGATTCAATTGGATACACATGTTTCACTTTGTACGTCGATTATGACTAACTGATTGGATGACAATAACGGCTTATCAACTTTATAGAAATTCTTCAAAATTCAGTTGCTAGAAAGGAAATATCATATGCAGTACGACTGATCATTATTAGAACAAACATGATTTTATGTGAAAGCTTATATAGATTTACATATAATACTACATAAAGGCGAATGGAAAGTCAGTAAGGAACGAAAATCTATTGAGTAATAGTTTAAGTGAATTTTAATTATGTTTAGGATCAAAAGTTGTTATACTCTGCAAATTTAACTTTTGGAAATAAAACGAAAGGGGATATAAACATGAAATGCGAACGACCCAGTACCAACTGCTTATGTATTTATTAGCTATAAATCAGATTAGTCAATAAGGTTGGTTGTGCATAGTCCTGTATAACTTGTAATGCCAGAATTTATACTCTTTAGACACTTCGAATGTTTCGTAGACCAAAAGGTTTTGGTAAGTTGTTTGAAAGAAGAACTGACCAAGTTAAGTTACTATATGGATATCTACAGATCATACTGTATTCTAACTTTGTTATAATAAAGGGTTAACTCATTAGGAAATATCGATTCTTTGAAAAGTTAGTCATTCAGTCATATCTGACGTAAAACCTAGCACATATGCGCATCGGTTCAAGTTGCCAAACCAGGTTAGCGAGATGCCAGAGTAGAATAATTAGTAATACTATTAGTGGCGGTAGAAAACATTTGACATAGACCAAATAACTCTAGAAGAAATTGTGTATCCTTAGAATAAAAAGAAAGAAGCTTTTAAGCTAATAATTTCAGGAAAGACCGAGAGTGAATGTACCTGTACAATTACAAATGGTTTTAAGTCATGTCACCCAAAGTTTCCAACCACTGATCGCGGTTATCGCGCAGATCTCCTTTAAGTAGTCTGCACTTACTTACACGTATCATTCCAACTTCGTAGACTGATGCCACCTTTTATTCTAGCTTCCCAGCTCTTCTCCAACTTACCCCTAAACAAACCACCATCTCCAATCGAGGTAGGCGGTGATCGGGTATATGTAATACATGTCCTGACTACCTCAGTCAATGACGATTCACTACCTCACTTATCAGTTTCCATCGTTACATGGTAGCCTGCGTCTAACCCCAGAATTACCAACTCTATGGTACCATTATATACGAGCGATGCTTCAAAGATACCTACAGTGGAATACTAGTGATCTACAAATACCCTCCATTTTTAAAGGCTCCTTCTTGCAGGCATTAAATCAAGGAAGGCAAACTTCTGCTCATTATATTCGTTCTTGAGCCATCAAACGGATGTATTACTGTTAACTCTAGAGATTATGTTATCTTTTCACTGTTTTTCAATTGTTCGAACAAATATTTAAAGTTGTGATAAGTTTTTAACTTCAAGATTAATGTAATAATGTATTCTTCTCATTTATTACTAACCCTACTGAATCGTTGATATTCTGATACAGGAGATATTTGTCATTAAGTTTTATATGATATATTAACTTATGTACGCTATGTATACTTCCCAAACTTTACCAATCTATGTCTTCTTACACTGAGTAGATGGCTTTTGTCATATGTTTCATAATGTACAGATCGTGTTAGACGCAAATAGTGAGGAAAATTATATTGCGCATTGACTAAATTTAATAATGAAAATAATCGATTGCCGACCAAATGGTCTAAGGGTTAAGTGCTCACCACGAGACCTAAAGGTTCTGGGTTCAATCGTTGTTTGGGTTGTGAATGCTCACTGCTGAGAGTTCATATGCTAGGACGAAACAGTTGTCGATTGCTTTTCGGTTTTCAATGGTTATCTAAGAGCAGTTTATGATACAAACCATAAAATTATGTTGGTATTGGTTGTTTATTTTTTTTTTTACTAATATTCTTATTTGAGAGTAAACTCATGGTTTAACATTAATTTGTAGATTTTGCGAATTTTCACTTCCATTTTTCACAGGTTGTAGCGCTGGCTGTGTACATTTACTTTGCTGTTACAATTTTCGGTCATCAGTTTATTGATGCCCCTTCAATCCTACCGCATATGCCAACCAGAGTCAATTCATCTAATTTAACATCTGTCAGCAATAATAATGATGTCAGCAGTGTTATTCTCAACAATCCTGCCAATAATACAAATATCAATAGTGGTTTATCATTTCCTAGAGTATTACCAAATATTCCAGTATTCACAATTCTTTCTTTTATTTTTTACAATGGCTGGCTTAAGGTAGCTGAGTCACTTGTTTCACCGTTCGGTTTAGATGATGATGATTTTGAAGTTGTTCCATTGTTGGAAAGGAATTTAAATACAAGTTTATATTTTGTAGATACATGTATTTCCGATTCGAATTTAATTCCCGAATTAGTTAAATCTGGTTGTAAAATCGATATTGAAACTGATGATGATGATCATACTGATGGTACTGCTGTCAGTGATTCAGATTATTATAGTCGACTTAATATCCCTGGTAGTCGTCAAAGGAGAATTAGTACAAAGTCAAAAGGTGGTGTTAGTCGAAGAGGCAGTTTTCTGTCACCTTATTCGTATGATGAAAATGATCTATCAACACCTCATACTTTTGAATCACCTATGGATAATGAATCACCTTGGCCTGAATTACCACCTACTCGTCAACGTAAACCGTCACATACAGCTTTTATTGGGTCATTGGAAGTAGCTGAAGCTACAAAAGAAGGTAATTTAAATTTTTCTCCTTCACTGCACTCTTTAACACCTGATCAACAGAGTCCACATTTACATCCTGATACATTAATTACTTCAGTAGGATCATCATTTCACCGTTTAGGATCCAAAATTAAGAAATTGTCATTCAGTCGATCAAATACTCCAGTTATTCACGAATTAAATAATCTTAATACAGAAATTCTAAGTTCAAATCGTTCAGATAGTGTTGCATCAAGTGAAGATAAATTTAATTCTAAAGATGCTTAGAAAATTGAATATATAAAAAAAAAGAGGAAACTGCTTATATTCCAAATTTTTTCTCTTGCCTGCCTTTTTGTCATCTTGTTAATACTTTCCATTCAAGCATTTGTTCGGTTTTTGTATGTTTATTACAAAGTTATCATATAAAACATCGACACAAACAAACATTACCTCATGTGTTTGTTTTTCTTTTTACAACCGTATGACTGTGTTATTATTTACTGTTTACTAACTTGGATTGTATTTAAACTGAAAATAACGTGTATGTTTTCACATAGTCTTCATCCTGTTAAATAAACTCGTATTTGGAAAGAAGCAATCGCGCAATCATTTCACATTCCTCTCCTATTAAGTGTTCCTTGTCTCCATCCTGTTGTAATTTTTCTGAGAAAAATCAGAAATGGCATTATTTTTTAAATTATTTTAAATAGTTTAATGACATATAGAGACTTTTCAAACCGTACATTGTGTATAATAAAAAACTTTTCTAAAATGTAATTGTGGAATCTTTGTTGTTCGTTGAATTAGCTATATTTGTGTGGCGTACAACCCTGGCGGGGTGGCTGGCCTTGTATTTCGTGGTAACCCAATTGTACTATATTAATTGGAACACTTGTTTGTTCAGGTCCTGCCACACCGTCTAGGTTGGTTGGAGAATAATAAAACTAAAAGCAGCTAGCTCAAAGTCAGAGGGCAAAGTGAATACTGATGGTTGTACAGCAATTTGATGGAAGTAAGGTATTAACACAAAATAACCAGCATCGACAGTGATATTTCGTTCTTGCAACGAAATAGTGTGGTTAGAAAAGGACGACCCGTCAAATGGCACATCTCATCTTGTTTCATAGGTGTCCATTACTACTGGTCAGGCCTGAAAGGTATGCAGCCAACATATGAAAAATACTGGCAAACCAACTAAGTGTGGTTTTAAGGAACTGTCCCCAGGGCTTTAGGGTTACTTCTTACTCAGTTTCTTTTTCAGTCCCTTAAAGAATAAGTATCTTTCCACAATGTGGGCAACTGGGAACTGACATTCACCATACTTCTAATGCTACTCATGCACTTAAATCACAGTCGAATCCCATCTTCATGTAACGTACAATTAATTGGGTAGACCCGAAGTACTCATTACAAATTAGATAGCTAACGCATCATTTAACTTTACTGGGAAACATTGTGGTTTGTTAAATAATCTGTTTAAGTGACTACATTATATCAGATAAGTTTCTTAGGACACAGTATTATTTGTTTGAATTCACTGAGGTCAAGTTTTCTCATTAGTTGATAAAGCAACCTGAGAATTATCTTCAGGACAAGTAGTGATGGGATTTCTACGAGAATTAAAGACGTCTTTATTCATTATTATTCAATTTCACTGTAGGTATACCCTTAGAAGTAAATTTTTTATTGTTTGACTTCTAAAGGATTATTCTTTTACCTGGAGTTCCTTTAAGTGATTTGAAGTATTCAGATGACACAGAAGTGTTTGATAAAGATTCTGAGGAAAATATAGTCTTCTGAATATCTTGAGCGATAACACAAAAATGTTTAAGATGCGGCCCTCATCATCTAAATCTAAAATGTCGTTTCAAAACTAATCCGCATCCATGACTATTTGGTTAACCCCAAAGTATACTGCCATACCAATGAGGATGGAGAAAGCAGCTTCAAAGCTATTACACAAATATCAAAATAGGGTTAGAAGTTTGTGTTGGGAATCAGGGTTGGGATTTCCATGACGAACTAACATTATTTGTTATGTAAGAATCCTGAAATCTTTATTTTAATCGTGTGTCCTAGGACTGTAAGTCGTTCACTTACCTTTTCTGTCTCTAGAGTGGCAAAACGGATTATGACCTTAAGGTTATTCACCAGTATACTTCAAATTTACCGACTAGTCTAGTCGTATAGAGTAAAGTTTGACGTGTTAATGTTAAAGTTGCATCATCCTTGTTAAGTCGGTTGCTGATGACATCTTGATGGAGATTCATAAAGCCTGATAAACCTTTTTCAACTTGTGGTACAGATATGATATCCATCTGCCTATCATTAACTAAGAGTGCTGCACATAGGTTACTGTTGGGTACTTTAGGTTTATTTAGGTGGAATTTTGTTCTCTGAGCTGGATGGCTTGGTCATACAGTTTTCATTGTTCTTCTAAATAACATCACCACAAATGTCGGGTAGAAGTGAATTGTTCGAATTTCTACGCTCACAGCTTGTTCCGTCGACCTCGATCTTGACTGGCTTTTGTTGATCTTTAACCTATCATTGTTTACCTCTTTACCTCGATGGTATCTCTCGTTGATCTGATTCTTTGTCCCTGATTTTCCTGATTATTTGATAGATTGGGTCGATTTTGATGTGTTTGTTGACTGCTGATCGATCTGAATCCCGAGCTTCTGAAAATTCCCTGGTGCCTTTTATAATCCCTCTATCTAAGACCTTAACATTTTTCCAGCTTGGGGTACACCCAAAGTTGTCCACATGCATCGATATAAGCGAGGATATGTCATGGTGTTTGGTTGCTAACTGGTGTTCGTTCAGGCGAAGATGAAGGGGGTTTCTTTCCGAATTATGTTCTTTATTGGCTTAAGAGGCTTGCGTAGATTGTTGAGTTTCATTGTTCAAATTGCCAATCGACCCTAGTTAAATAAGCGCTGGAAAGAAAGAATCATTCAGCATCCATTTCGTCCTAGTATAAGACTCGTCAGCAGTGCATAACCACACTTCTTAAGGTTCGTTTTACGGTGATTTTTCATGGCAAAAATGAATTATTCAGTTGATTACTAGTTGACTACTTGAAAGCAAAACAAACACCTGACATTAATAGAAACCATGTACTAACTAGTGGCTGATTTCCAAAGGTAATCCTCAGGGTTCTGTTGGCGAAGCTGTGGTCATTGTTCAACTATGCTGTACAGGAGGTACTTACCTACCAATGGTATTCGAAGATAATTGCTCAATAACGCTAATCAATTGAAGTTAGAAATATAGACCGTTGAATGCTGACTCACTGAACAAAGTGTTGAGCGGTCAAATGCGTCCTGCATTCCACTAGCAACCATAACCCATCTATTTTAAAATACTCTTAAAAACTTTGTTTATTGAAAATGAATTCGTTTTAATCATAGATCCTACCCTATCAACGACAAATCAATAATTTCAATGGTTGAGATCATGAGTCAATTGAAGCTACTATAATATCGACAAAACCCTTCTGATAAATCACTAGTATATAGCAGTGTAAGTCAAATAAGACCCAATGTTATACCATTGCATCATTAACGATAAATGGATTTTCATCAAGCTTAACAGTTGCGTTCTTGTGGTTGGATGCTTGGTTATTTCCCCAGTACAACGTATTTCAGTTGTGATTATAGGTATTTTGGAAGTCCACTTGTGAACTAGTTCAAAACATGTTAAATTCAGTTCAGGCTTAAAGGTGACAATATATTTTTCTTTATTTTACTATTACTATAACAATAGCTCTACCTGTAGCCCATCTAGGGCTACTGCTGGTCTGAACCTGGGATAGAGGAGGAGGGTTGGGCATTTGGTTAGCAACCCTATCCTGTAAGAAGCAACCTTGCTAAAAAGACGCCAACCAAAAAATTATTTAAATCATTTGAAATCTGTCCTGAGTGTTAACGGGTCTTCATTTATAAGAATTATGATGTCTCAAGGTGAAAGTTGAGATTTTTCAAAAATCACGAGGTCGATGCCTCTTTTGACAACCAGAGCAATAATTAACACAGGTACATAGAATATCCGCACTATGTGAGAGGTGCAGAAAAAAAATAACCTGGTGGTGCTTGGGATAAGTTAAACCCATTAAACCTGTTAGCGGGACATAGACTAGATTAAAGCATGCTCAATGCACGACTTCTTTGGGGCACGCTGATTGGCTAATTCTTATTCAATGAGCACCAGTCGATAGTTGGAGAATACTCTAGAATCTCCTCATGTAAAAACTATAAATATACTGACGTTTTTCCCTATTGTGCTTGCATCTTACTTCCATCTAACCTTGTTATTTGGAATATAATCTCTTTCTTGTTCAACCGTGTTCTGATTTGGGGTCTTGTCGAGTGATTTAGTGTCCAAGAATACTAAGCAATAGGAATAGCTGGGTCATAACCGTAAGAAAGAGATTATAACAAAACCAAAGCTAGACAGAAAAGATTAGCTTCAGGAGCGCTACTGTTGTACACTGGTCATGAAGGAAATGCTCCACATACGTAGGAAGTTGCTCTGATGCTGTCCAAAGAAGCACGTAATGCACTTATAGGATGGGAATCTCCTGATTGCAGAATATTCAAAGAAAAGATGGAGATTACGATCAATGATATCTTGTACTATGCACCCACCAATGATAGCAATAGAGATGAAAGATATCAGTTTTATGAGAGGCTGCAGTCGATTGTAACAGAGTGCCCAGGAAAGGACCTGCCCATCCTGGTGAGAGACCTAAACACCAAAATCAGAATCGACAGACCGGATATGAAGATATCATGGGACTAAATGGACTGAGGGGAGGAAACGAGAATGGTGAGGGATTCGCAAATTTATGTGCATTCAACAAAATGGCTATAGGTGGCACCATATTTCTGCATTAAGGCATACATGAAATTACATGAGTTTCACCGGACCACACTACAGGAAACCAGATTGATCACATTCGCGTCAATAAAAAGTTTAGAAGGTCCACAGAAAACGAAAGCACAAAAAAAGGAACTGATATAGTTTCAGATCACCACACGGTGATTATCAAGATAAAACTGAAGCTGAAGAAGCACTGAACAACTGTATAAACAGAATTACAAAGATATAATGCAGCCTTCCTTCGAGATGCTGACAAGCTCAATGAGTTCAAGATAGTTCTCAATAACAGGTTCGAAGCTTTACAAGATCTAATCGAAGAAGAAACTAATATGGAAAAAAATGGGGAGGGGTCAAATAAGCATGAACTTCAACATACCTGGAGGTGCTGTGGCCGCGAGAAGCACCATCAAAAGGAATGGATATCCATCGGAACTGTTGGCACGATTCAAGAAGTGAGGGACAAGAAGACAGTAATTAATCACAGCCGAACAAGATCCGAGAAAGTCAAGGGACAGGTGGAATACACAGAAGCAAACAAACGAGTGAAGAGGAGCATTATAGGTGATAGGAGAAAATATATGGAAGACCTAGCAACGACAGCGGAAAAAGCAGTAAGAGAAGTAAGTATGAGACAACTCTATGATACAACGAAGAAACTATCTCGGGAATGTAGTGAACCAGAGCAATCAGTTGAAGAGGAAATTAGGAAAAGACACGAGATGGATAAGACATACGTTGCGGAAATCATCAAACTACATTATGAGGTAAGCCATAATTTAAAATCGGTAGGGCGAAAGGAAAAGAGGCAGACCAAAAACGCGTTGCATCAAGAATTGGAGTCAGATATGGAAAGAATGACTAACACTTGAAAAAACTTGGAAAGGTGAGGCC